TGAACTCCATCTCTTATTCACCACTCAGGAAGGCTGCAGTACTCAGGGTTTTTTTTTTTTTTTTTACTTTTATTAAGGCTCTCACTACACACAAATTCAAAGATTTATTTTCTATTCTGGTGCAAGATACAACTGGCTGCAGTCAGAGTTCAGTATTGTTCAATTTTGACCATCTTTATGTGCTTTTAGGAAATGTGTGAGTCAGATTTAGAGTGTTTGCATCACTGTGTTTAGTGAATCACACCACCAGACTACAAACTGGAGCCTTGCTCACATACTACTCTGACTTCAGCAAGTGTTGCCCAGCAGTGACCCTTTGTCTACCAGTAAGGACCGTAGACTGTATAAAAAAAAGATGGCTCAAATGACAGCTCCCCAAAATAGAAGCCAAAAACATCAAGAGCTCCCCCTACATAATGTCTACATTTTAAGTAATATACTCTGCCTCCTCCATGTTAGCAGATCAGACATGGGTCAAGCTATAAAATCAAAGTGCACATCAAGTAATGTTTTCTCAAACATGTTACGTGTCATTAAAGAGAAGCTTGGATTTAATTAGTTATTTGATGCTATAAAAATGGGTGTGTGCAGTGCTGTGTGCACCAGATTAGCAGAGCAGAGGAGGAATGGCGAGAGAAATATGACAAACACTTACTGGAGAGAGTCTTTGAGCTTTCCACAACCGTGGTTCCTGCTTCAAACAGGAATGTCCTGCTTTACTGTTTTACTGGCACAGCTCAAAATGATGCATTTATAGTCATTGGTTATGACCTGGGAAAAAGCCCCCACAAACTACATCTCTTGTTCACTTTTCATGATCTGAAGAACATAATACAAAGCACAAAAGATCAAAAACGGTGGCTCTTTTCATGAGACTGTGATTGCATGCTAAAGACTAAAGGACACAATCATGTTCTTTGTAATTGTTGTTAATAAGAAAAGAAATCAGGTCAGCATAAAAAAAGAGAGACTGAACACGACGTAATAACAGCCAATGAACTTAATTAAGCCATGGCTTCTTCTGGTTGTATTGCATATTCAGTATAGCCGGAGAAGATTCGAGGTACATTTTTTGTTGTTGTAAAGCTTACAGTCTCCATCTGTGAATGTAAATGTAACCTATCAACAGTACAAGCTCGATGACTGACCAACTCCTCTGTGTAGGAGAGTCAAAGGACGTAAACAAAACTGTTTGTAAGATTCAAGATGTGCATTTCTTGGCTGTACTCCGGTGATTTCTGCCATGATCAGATTCATTTATTTCTCTATTATAAGTGATATCTTTATAATAAGTTGTCCTCCGCGTTTTTAATATTCTATAACTTGACCTAACGGTTTAGTCCTGGAGTGGAGATAAACCTGCAGTTTAAGAGATGTTTGAAGAACAGATGTTCTTTTATTCGTCTCCTCTTGAAGTATTGTTCTCCTTATAAACTATAGTCTCACAGTTTCCGCTGTTATGCTCACTTCTGATTTACACACACACACACACACACACACACACACACACACACACACACACACACACACACACACACACACACACACACACACACACACACACACACACACACACACACACTCTGGTCTCTCTCAGTTTCATTCATGCATGTCCTGCTCCTCCATGCTAAAGTAAGCATGAGGACAGCCTACTGCTGGCTATGACAGCACACACACACACACACACACACACACACACACACACACACACACACACACACACACACACACACACACACAGTGAGGTCATGTTCAGCAAAAGAACCTAAAGGAAACCAAAAAATCTTTACTTAAAATCCATACCTGCCAAACTAATGTCCACAGCATCAGTCAAAGTTCAGTGCTTTATGGTAAATGTAAGCATTCTAGCTCACTCCAAATACATGTTAGCATTTAGCTCAATGCTAATGATAGCTTCTGACACTTCATCTAGTGCCACCATCTGATCAAAATGTGAATTTGTCAGTGACACATACCTGGAAAAAATACATCAGCCCAGGTTAATGTTAATAGCAAATATTGGAATGCAAACACCCTTAAGACATCAGCATTCAGCTTTAAAATGTCTGATATCTTCTGAGCCTTCGTCTTGTGTAAGCATCAGTGTCAAATATTTTATTTTTCCAAGATAAAAAGATATTGACATCTGCCCAAGCCGCAGTAAGTGCTGACAGTACAGTATATAAGTGAAACATCTCTGCATTTAGCTCGATACTTATGGTATTGCTGACCGTTCATCTTGTAACAAAAATCTGGATTCATTTCTCATTGTCCAAGACAAAAACGGGTAAAGCCATTGTCAAGCTCGCTAAAATGCAAAACAATGCTTGCAAGACCTCTAGAACGGTTCTAGTTCTGTTTACATTTTTTTGGTGTATGGATGTACTTCATAATGTAATGTTCCTTTTGTCGTCAACAGCCACATTAGTAACACTTTTTTCATGCATTTTGTATTTTGGAAAATACTGAAGGAGTACATTTTTCCACAGAGACTCACGGTTAAACTTTTCTTTGGGTATCAGCCTATCACCCTGCTGTGACTGCTGAGTGACACATAAACAAATACCACCAGCTTTCTAAACCCCAGTATATCTGTAATGAACCTGCAGCTGCCACCTGCTGTACCAGTGCACACACACACACACACACACACACACACACACACACACACACACACACACACAAAATATTCAAACATGATACACAGCAGTAGTAGAGTTAGTGAGCCGTGCAGTCGGGACTGTGTGTTTGTGTAAACAGCAGGAGCCTGTAACAACAAGACAACCAAACAATAAGGGCTTTCCATGTCATGGAAAGAAAGACGGGGAGAGACCCTCACTGTGCTGTGTGTGTGTGTGTGTGTGTGTGTGTGTGTGTGTGTGTGTGTGTGTGTGTGTGTGTGTGTGTGTGTGTGTGTGTGTGTGTGTGTGTGTGTGTGTGTGTGTGAGACTCAGCAGAGTGTGACTGCAGCATTTCCTTACATGCTGTGTGTCTGTGTGTGCAGATGTGTGTTACTGTTAAGCTTGTTTCTTTTAAATGCAGAGCTGAGTATACATATTTATTTAGTTCAGTAAATAGTTAATATTAATGAAGTTTATTTTAGAGATGACAAATCCATTAAAAGATTGGTAAAGGGAGAAACATATATTTGCAGCTGTTTTTACAACTGTTTAACCAAATGTTTTATGTTTTGTCTTTACTATCTGACACTGTTGACAAAGAAAGTCAAGATAAAACATGATACATTTAGGTTTTTAAGGACTTTGGTTTGGCTTAACTTTTGATCTACTCTCCCTCTCTTCATGCCTGTGATTCCTGTAAAATTCATTTGTAGTAACTAGTAAATGATGTAGCTTTCCCTTGGCTGAGGAGAATTGTAAGAAGTGAGAAACAACCTCCGGTTACTCCACTCACTGAAAACTCCAAGGAATGAAAATTAGAGTTAAAGTAAAATAAACTTGATTGGTTCTATAGCCCTTGGTATCATTGCCGTTATTAGTTTTTAAACCTGTTGTAATATACTACCTCCTGCAGTGTATGAGGTCATATTAAATGTCAGGTGTTTTTCTTGCTGGTAATTTCGACTTTGAACATGTTCATGTGTCGGTGTTTAGTGTGTTACCTGCCACACTCTCAGCTGGGGGAGAGAGCGAAGTCTCCTGGAGTGAGAGGACAGCTCGCTGCAGGGAGGCGCTCTGCAGGGATCTGTTACATGCTATACTTTGTGCATGCGTGTGTTTGTGTTTGTGTGTGTGTGTGTGTGTGTGTGTGTGTGTGTGTGTGTGTGTGTGTGGTTGAATACACATTTTGTGCATAGTTTTTTTCCTTAAAGGGCAGTATCCTACAGTATATCTAAAAGTAATCGAACACCCACCACGAATGTAAATAAGGCTATTTATAGCATTTTTTCTGTTCAATAACTTAATCATGTAAATACTGTAATATTATCCTCCTCATCAATCTATGCACACTGCTTAATGTATAAACTGTAAAAACTCTCTACCTCATATATATCAGCCATATATTATATTATTTAGCCTTGTATATATTAGTCTTTTTGCTTACATATTATGTTTATATTTATATTTAATTGAATGTATAATTGCCTTGTCTGTAAGCATACATGGCCAATCAAGCTGATTCTGATTCTTCTAATGCTGTTGTGTATTTTGCTTCATGTTTTGACTAATAGAAACAAGACATATAACGCAGTTCTCCAGCACTCTCAGAAAAGCAGGAACCCCATGACATAAGTCAGTATTCATTTTTTGAAACCTCTGAGGTTAACTGAGGTCTGCCTCATCAATGGGAAATGATCTTGGATCTTACAGCCTATCCCTCCAACTTTGTACTAGAATACTTAACAGCCTTGACAACAAGCATTAACATGCATACCATGCACTTTGGTTTTTATCTGGGTGAGGCAGGAGGGTAAATGTGCCGCTGAAGATGAACTACAGCTCTATCACCAAAGCTCATTTGTAGTTGAGTCACATTTGGCGAGTGGCAGCTTTCCTTTTACTTCAGCTGAGTGCTCACCTATGATAGGCGATGTCCTGAAACGACATGTCACACTTAAAAATGTCGGTCAGAAGTTCTTAGACATTTTACTTTAAAAAAAAGAAGATATGACAATTTTTTTTAAATCTGGAAACTGGACTTCTTAATGCCTTTAATTCTCTTTATTCACAGCTTTTCCTCATTCCCTCCTTTATTTCCTGAACTCTGAATCTTATTAGCAACATGTTCATTTTATGTCAAACATATTTTAACTCTCTAGCAAATCTTAAATAAGCTTTAAGTGTGTTTCAGTCAGAATTGTAGCAAATGAAATAATTGCCTCAAATGTCAGCAAAAAATGACACTTCTTTGTGTGCTGTATTTTTCTCGTTCAAACTTCACCTAAAACAAGAAGTTTCCGAGGCTCGGTTACATTTTCCAGTAAAAAATGAAGTTTGAACTGATTACATTCACTTAATCCCTTCTGTGTCTCCTTGCAGAGAAAAGCCAGAAAGGAGAAAAGAGGAAGCAGAATGGCGTAATGGAAAAAGGGAAGGAGAGGAGGAAGAGTAGTCCTGAGAAGAAAAAGGAGAGATTGAAGTCAGACAACGGCTCCCTGCTAAAAGAGCTAGGTACATTGTGTGTGTGTGAGTGCGTGCGTGTGTGTGTGTGTGTGTGTGTGTGTGTGTGTGTGTGTGTGTGTGTGTGTGTGTGTGTGTGTGTGTGTGTGTGTGTGTGTGTGTGTGTGTGTGTGTGTGTGTGTGTGTGTGTGTGTGTGTGTGTGTATGTTGGAGTATGTCCCTGTAGTGTTTCCAACCTGGTCAAATGCTCTGTACTGGCTGAACATATGCTATGAACAGTTTGTGTGTTTGTAAATCAGTTTGAAAGAACCTGCTGACTGAAGTTGCAGCAAATTTTCATCCTTGATGCATCAATTATTCATCTGAGTGTTTTGGCACCAACGGGTGAAAATGATGTACTGAGCTGGCATCAAAAAACATTAAAAAAATGTTAAGGATAATAGGATAATATTTTTTTATTTTGAACTGGAAAAACTTTGTATGTGGATATTTTCGTCTTGGAAATATCCACATACATAAGGATTGATGCATCAAGTTCATGTCACAGAAACATCTTTTATTTTAATTTCAGACGTCTGTGCTGTCAAACATTGTCTGTGTCCTACTCATTGTAGATCAAATGTCAGATTGTCAGTGTAATTTTGATTTATTATTTCACCTAATTTTAACCAGGACAAAACTTGTTGAGATTAAAAATCCTCTTGTTCAAGAGTGTCCTGGCCAAGGAAGGCAGCAGCACAGTTAACAGAGTTTCTGACCATACAAAGATATTAGAAAATACATAATTATAAAACATTAAAATACATAAATTAACACATTTAAACAGCAAATATGTTTTAAGATCGCCACAAACACATCAGGCAGCAGAACATCTACAGCCAGATGTGTCTGCTTCCAATTCATTCAGTATCCTCAGCATCCAGTGAGACGATGAGAGCTCTTGTAATTTCATTTCAAGTAAAAGAAGCAACAAACTTCAGCTCTGACTTTTGGAACAGGAAGGATTTGATTCTACTTGAACCGTTGTTTGTTGATTCTAACTAACAACTTTTTGGAACAGTAACAAAACAGCCTTCAATGAATGTAATCATGTAATCGTTGGGTGCATCCCTGATTATGAAAAACCTTTCAATAATGCGGGGATGTTGCTCATGTGTATGTCAGTAGCGCTTCAGTTTTTTTTCTGCAGCGGGAAGATTAAGAGGAAGTCTAGTTTAGTTTCATGTCATGCAAAAGCAGTTTCACTGTGAAGTTAACGCTTAACAGAATCCCCACTACTTTTCAATACAGCGACGTTTAACGCTTAGACGACATGTACTAAGTGCAAAATTTTGCGTTTAGAATTTAATATTTTGAAATGTGTTGGAGTATCGACCATTCTAAGTAAGTAAGTAAAGTTTATTTATATTGCACTTTTCAAAGACAGGTCACAATGACAACAAAATACAACATACGTATAATAAAAACAGGAACAAACGATTTGGTTGACACTCGTGTCATTGGTGACTTGTAGTGAGGAAATGAAAGACAGATGAAGGACTGTTGATGGTCACGCATACTGGCAGCTGTGGTGAATGAATCTGTAGTTTATAAGTTGACTACACAACACAAGCCACCTGCTGGACTACAAGGGAACAAGTTGACATCAGAGTTCAAAACCATGATCTATAAGTGAGGCTAGAAATATGTTGACTGATATGTCAATAACGCATTCAGACACCAAAGCCTCTCAATTTCTCTCAAAAATTCTTCATATACTTCTATTGATTTGTTTACATCTCTATCCGCATTCCTGTAGTCAGATGCGCTTGTTTAGAGTGTTGGCAGCTCCTCTACAGCTGTCGATACCTTGAAAACAACCTTAGTCTTTTTCTCAGATGCAGGAGCTTCATGGGAGAGTAGAGCTGACAGTTTGATGGAATCTGGTGCTGTTGACGTAGCAGAACCAGGGCGCACTGTCACGATCAAACCCAGTGTATCTGCTTATTCAGAATACAGCTTTTAAGCTCTCATTATTCCCTACAATATGACTTAGCCATTAACAGCCATTCCAAGAAATGTAAAAGACCACGCACATTAAGTGATTGAAAGCACAAAGATAGAGTAAAAGCTGCTTCGAGAGATAAAAGACGACTTTGAAATTCATGCTGAAGTTATTATTTTTTTATCAGTATGGTCTGCAAAAAAGAAAACCTTTTTGTCCAAATAGTTTCCCTGCTGCCTCTGAAAAGTACTCTATTTTAAATAACTGACTACATTTGAATTTGAAAATTCCATCCAGCAGTAGTTTTTGACATTGTTTTAAAACAGATCAATGTAGTTGTATGAAGATATATTTAAATAGTGGTGACCATTATAACTTCTATGACAAGTTCCATTACAAACTAATGAGATTGAAGCTTCTGAAGTTTAAGTCGGAGAACTATCGAAAATGGAAATGAACTTTTGGATTATAATGTGTCAGAAAATAAATAATGAACCTCCAGAAAAAAGAACCAAAGAAACACTCAACTTGTTATATACTGTATGTTTGTGTGGGCGTAGTAAGTAGAAAATAAAGTCCTCCATATCTTCAGGCCTCGTCTAAAAACAAGCTCCTCTTGCAGTAAAAAGCATCTTTATGTAGGACATCAAGTGGGTGGTTTTGTAGCCTTATACAATCCTTGTTTATTGGTTTCCACATCTAATAACTTGTGAATATCCCTGCAGTAACTTTATACAAAAAGCTGTGGGTTGCAAGGACACTTTCTGATAAATATCTGAAAGCAGATCATGAAATCGGATGAATAGCTGTTTACCTAAGCGTAATTCATCCTCCTTTTCATGTAAATAAAATATCTTACCCATTATGATGAGTATTTAGTTTGCCTTGCTACCCATTGTGATCGGGATAGTAACTTAATAGGAAAAATAATATGCATATAAGTATGGGTCCAATTCTTTTTAAAATCTGGACCTTCTGAACTAAACAAGTCCTACTCACAAAAAGACTTTGATCTTCTCAGTGGAATAGAAAAGTCACTGGATGTCGCAGAAACACAGAATTTATCCGCGGAAAGCTGCCGATCCCACAAAAAGAGTTGATTTGACAGCACGTCACTACATTGTACCGTTCTATTTTTAGAGGTGATTTCGTAAAAACGTCAATTATATGTCCTATACGACAGCATCATCCTAGGAGCCCCTGTAGCATCCAAGATTTCAAAATAGTCTCTCTGTTCTCCTTTCCCACTTACACAGGTATCTGTCATTTTCACTAAACTAAGCAGAGCGCAAAGGATTATGGTCTTTGTAGTTACCACTTCCATCCACTCTGCTCCACTGCGGCTAAAACAAAACTTTTTGCCCAGAACATCGACTCATACCATCGCAAGTCCATGACAGGAAATGGTGGCAATTAGTTTGATAGCCAAAAGCATATATGAAAAAGATTTAATCCACTCAGTTTTCTCATTATACATTATATGAAAACATGTTTGTTCTATGTTTAATCAACTAACTTATTTAATTTGTGGTTCAATGCTCTGTGTGTGTACTCACATTACTGGTCATTATTCACATTACTTCCACTCATAATCATTTAGGTTAGCCATAAAGCTATCTTCGTTATTATAGTGGGATTGAGCCTTGAGTGGTGGGTAAAGCGATCTCCATCTTGAAACTTCAAATTCTAATTTTGAACAACTTAGGGTTCCTTTTTGGTAACTAAATATAGCAGTTCAGCTATTTAAACAAGAACGCCATTAAACCAAACAAAACAGCTGAGAAAGTTTGGAGGACTGTTCCATATTTGTTTAATTCAAAAAGTCAACAGAGAAAGATTTGTTATCAAATTACTGTCTCCTATTTGTTTTAGAACAATGAACTGTAGTGCATACGTTCAGTACAGTATGCAGGACATAGTTTGTGCATTAGCATTTGTACTTTTGTATCCACTAAAGTGGCAGAGCTGTGTGGAGCTGTTCACCCACACACACAGTCAGCGATGACACATGACTTTTTCTCATTTCTTTTTTCAACCAGAGCTGAGGGTCACAGAGCCAAACACCATTTTCCTGTCCAACTGAATTTGATTAATAAACAGAGCGACAATAACAAAAGACATCTCTCTCAGTTATATCACTCATTAATATCACTCATTCTGTAGATCTCTCTTTTTCTGTTTCACTCTTTCTATCGGAGTGATGAGGAAAAAGAACTAACTACATGTAGAATAGTCGATGGGAGATCATCACTCACGTTGTGTTTCCATGACAAACAACCGTGCCTGTGTGTAGTGAACGTCCATGTGCATGTATGCTGTCCCCAGTGTTTTATATATGTATCGTTCCTGTCAGCATGTCATCTGTGTGTTTGTTTGTTCAAGGCGTTTGCGTTCATATCTCACAGTCTAAGTGTGTGTGTGTGTGTGTGTGTGTGTGTGTGTGTGTGTGTGTGTGTGTGTGTGTGTGTGTGTGTGTGTGTGTGTGTGTGTGTGTGTGTGTGTGTGTGTGTGTGTGTGTGTGTGTTTTGTGTCAGGCCATCTGTTCTCTGTCGGGGTCTGGTCCTGACTCCCCCGGCTTTGTCTTCCTCTTTGTGTTCTGGGATCAAGATGACAGATATGTAGCAGAACTCATCCTCAGATCTACTGTCCCCTATCCCCACAGTTTGATTACTGGGCCCATATGGTGCTGGTGATTTGGAAAAAGGAAGATTGTTTTTTTTTTTTTTTTTTTTTAAATCCTCCTCGTGTCTCCTCATACTCACTGAGGAGCTTTCACCTTCAAAACTGAGATCTGGAACACATTTCAGTCAAACTCTAATCAAATCTGCATGTTTGAGTGGTTTGAGATGAATTTGCATCAAATGAAAAACACCCACAGAAAATGAGCTGTTGAATTGGAGAGAGCTTTGATCATATGGTGGATAACTCAGTCAGCGATTTCTTTGCAACAGCAATTTCATAGTGGTTGACATAATGCCATTAAGAAATAACGCAAATCATCCGCGAAGTGAATTCACTTTCGGTGACATCTGTAAGCGTGGCAAATGTCCTGTGAGCCCCACCGTACTACAATGAGAGAGGTCCAATAAAGCATGCATGCTGCTGCAAAGTGTACAGAAGAAAACAAGGACCCTGTGACATCACTGTTGAGTACAAGAGAGCCTGTGTGTGAGCAAACACAAGAGTCTTCCGGCTTTTATTAAGGTCAGCAAGACAAGGCTTTTAGACGTTTGTTAAGTTACTCTTACAAACTGTAGAGTTTTTTTAGTCTGGATGTTATTGTGTCTTGTCCATGTACTCATTTTAGTGCAGTGTTAAGTGTGCTCTTTTTCTGCCTGCTGCACTTCCTCCTCCACCTTAGCTCTCTTTTAGTTTATTTTTTTTAATCTCTGAGTTTCCAGGCACACTGTTGGCACCTGAGAACAATCCTTAGACTGTAGTGAGGGCTTTAGAGCTTGCAACACACACTCACTCTTGTCTCTCCCTCTCTCTCTCTCTTTCTCACCCTCTCTCTTGCTCTCATGCACAGGCCTGGTCTTGGCCAAGTCCTACTTCTAGCACATTCCTTACCATTCACTGCTCCAGTAGTGCTTGCTAGAAAATCACTGCTCACTGCTACAAAATCATTTGTTCTGTAATGGCAACCTGTGTTTATATTTTTCTTTTTCTGCTGTGAGACTAGTGTGCACGTGTGAAGAGGCCAGCTGTTCTCCAAACTGCTGCGTCACATTGCACAGCCTTAAGCAATAGCTTTAATAGACCTTCTGACACATTAGCATTAGCCTACAGTGTCCCTTTTCAGACCTGTGAGTGTAAGCAAAAGAACTGTTTTTAAAGAGACAGCTCCATTTTGATGAGGCAAATATTGATCGGTTTCTTCAGAAGAGTTCTTCAAAAGAAACTTTTTTCACTATTACTTCTTTTAGAATATCTTTCTACTTAATACTTTTAAAAACTGTGCAAAAAAAAAGAAGTCCACCGAAAAATAAATGTCCCCCTTTTTCTCCAACAAAAAGGATTTTTGTTCTCAAAGAAAAAATGTAGATGTTTAGCACTCGTATTAACTTAGTTATAAACCTCCTACAGCATTGCATTGCTGTCATTTCCTAAACCGTGGAGATACATATTCAACAATAATGTGACATCAGGATAGTTTTAAACATTGTTTGTTGCAACATGATGTAACAATATAACATCACACTAACTACCAGATGGACAGATGTAGTGTTGGGCACGTTACTGAAAATAAGTAACTAGTTACAGTTACTAGTTACTACTACTATCAAAAAGTAACTCAGTTACTTACTGAGTTAGTGCATTATTAAAGTCAGTCTAAAGTCTGACTTACAAATCTGGAAAGTAACTAAATATGTTTTCAGGTCACTTTCACGGATGGCCATTAGAAGAAGTTTACAATTTTATTTTGTCTTAATTCAGATCACTACCAATCATCCTCGAATCTGGACATTCCCATCAGCTTCAGCTATACTTTGTGTTCAGTGCAAATTGACCCTGTGTTGGCTCTCTGATTGGTCCGCTGACCACCTATCAGAGAGCTCCCTGTAATAGCAACCATGCTGGGCAAAGTCTTTTCAGTGCATCGCAGTGAAATTGTGACCTTAAAAACATTGTGACCTTAAAAACATGGTTCATGGTTGTGACCTTAAAAACATGGTTCATATTATTAACATGGATCAGGGAAAAACACAACCTAGGCAGGGCAATAAAATAAAATACACAGGAGAGAGCTTTCATGGGTTTTTATCATTGCCAGTTTAAAATGAAACATCATCACTACTTTAATTAAAGTATCACTCTTGGATGATATGAAATGAGTGAATGAAGCAAACCCTGTATTTAACCTTAGTGTGGCATGGTTAACATGGTTAAAATGTGTGCTTGGTGTCAGTAAGAGTGACTCAAAATATCGTTATCCAGGTGTCATTCCGTTCCCTAAACCGAACAAATGTTTTTTTTATGTTATTGGTTTTATGACGGATATTTAGTAGATGTGTAGTAGGTCTAGCTATAATCTGTCAAAATAAACTATTTAGTTTGCTTTATTCACTTTCCTACCCAGCAGTATATGAGCAGTTCTGCCCTGTGACAGCTCCATTGGCAGTCATTTTCAGAGACAGTAAATGAGGCTTCTGTCGTTTTTCCATGGATCTGTAGCATTTAGCAATAATTGATGTTGCTGTGATTGTCAAATTGTGCACATAACTCTCAGCTGCGTATTGGAGGCCCTGTTGCTGACATTTAGAGGATATTTCAGACCTCTGGCTCCAGAAATGTTCATTGAGATGGTCACTGAGAGGGCTAGCAGCCACGGGAGGACAGCTAAAGTTAGCATCAGACATCGATCATGCTTTAAATGATTTTTTTAGATTTATGAGAGATTTTGAGTTATCCTCATACACCCTACTGTATATCTGTACTTTCCAAAATAATCAAATCAATTAAATACAGATAAAAGTCTGTCAAATCTCTGGGAGGAGCCCGGCGAAAAGAGATTTTGACTATCTTAGAAACAGTAACCAAGGTGGGCGGGGCTTGACAAAGGGTCAATTAGCTTTACAATATTTGCATGTTGTCATACTAAACTAATTTGTTGAACATGATGCTTCCTAAACAAAAAATAATATTATAGTATAAATGGAAAATATTAGCAGGCTGATGTTAAGCTGAAAACAAGCTGTAGCACGGCTGTGAACTCATATACTTGTTTATATATTTCGACTACAGAGTGGTATGTTTCAGGTTTAGATCTTCTCTACCTCTGTTTGAACTCTGTTACTCCCTCCTCTCCTCCATCATCACCTCCCATTTTCCTCACACTACTTCATTGCCCCTTTTCTCTGCTCCGTCATTTATCCCCTCCCTCAGAGCTCTCTCGACTCCTGCAGAGACATGCTGCGTCATGGAAACGACCGACTTGGTGTGTGTGTGTGTGTGTGTGTGTGTGTGATGTTAGCTGGTGTGAAACACACCTGAACAGCACCTCCTGCAGTCCTACTTGGCAGATCATTATAGTCACTGATTTACTGGGAGGCTAGAAAGACAGTTGAGAAAAAAGAAGCTCACACCTTAAAGTCTGGTCTGTATTTTCTACAAGCTATTTGTGTGCAAGTTGTTGTTGTGAATATAATCTCTGCAGATATGATATGGTCCTCTAACTTGTTAAGAAGCAGCAGCTGTTCCCCACATTGGACATGACAGACTGCTAGTGTGCAGAGGTTGATGTTTTTTCTGGCTGTTTACTGACATATTGGGACAATTTGATTGCTGCAAACCACAACGTTATTCTTTCTCATTTGCGATGATGACATTGTTCAGCAAAAATGTGGGCAGCTTCTTCGGTGTATACAGGTGACATCATGGTAGACATTCATGTTGCAAAGCTACATGGGACCATGCATGGATATTTCTTCATCACAGAGCTCATATTATTAACATGGATCAGGGAAAAACACAACCTAGGCAGGGCAATAAAATGAAATACACAGGAGAGAGCTTTCATGGGTTTTTATCATTGCCAGTTTAAAATGAAACATCATCACTACTTTAATTAAAGTATCACTCTTGGATGATATGAAATGAGTGAATGAAGCAAACCCTGTATTTAACCTTAGTGTGGCATTTAAGAGTTGACACAGAAGTCAAGCATTGCATTTTTGAAAAGCCTCGTTTCTCTCACTCTGTGATCATTACAACTTTTATGCGTTTTCTACTTATGAAAAATGAATGAGCAGCACTTCTCACATGTCTGCCCCCCCCCCCCTTCTCCCTCCCTGTCTTTTCCTCCGTTCATCCCTCTTCATTTCTACCATCTGTTTTTCTTTATCATCCGTCATCACCCTGAATGCTTCTTTCTCACTGTTTTTGACCTATTTCCTTCCTCTAGGTTTGTCAAAGTCCTTCCCATTGGACAACTCTTTGTTCGACAGCTGGCTCGCCCAGTCGGTTCAGATCACAGCTGATGACATGCTGAGTCAGTGGGCTCTAGGCGCCCAACATCGGGACAAGAGTGGCAGCCTGCTTTCCGACCAGGTAGGTCTTCAGCAGCTAGTTCAGAGTTGTTGCAGCATGGATTGATTCAAACATGGATTTCCACTCATTCAAAAAGTTATCAGAAGCTTAACATCATTTCAGCATCAGTACAAGCAGACAGTGCATAGATCAGTCGAGTTTAGAAAAAGGGGGATTATATGAAATGGATTGCCAACTGGCTCTTGGCAGTGAACAGCAGCACACATGGCAAAATACAAACAGCTGAAGTAATCACCAGAGTCAATCCATCACCTCTTGAACTGAATCCCAGTCCACTTCACTTGAAGACAAACCAAGTGCCTGGAGCCAAATTAGAAACTGTCCTGGCTACAGACAGGATTTAACAGGACATCCAAACTAACAACATCTTCTTATTCAAAGAGGGAGCTGGCGTGTGCATGGGTGCCATAAGGCCAAAATGCAGGCTAAGTGAATCTGTAAAAGCAAAACATATGTATTGTGGGAATCTTTGAGAACTACTCTTTGCAAGAAAATAAGTATTTGTCCTAATCAATCACAATTATTTCTCTTCCTGTTGTGTGCAAACAACTTAACCACAGACACACGGGTTGGTGATATTTAGTAAGTAACGTGTAAACGCCTTTCCCTTGATATCATGTTTTAAGTGTTAACTGACTTGTAAAATCGAGTTCTGCTTCTATGCTGGTTGGAAATTTTTATTAATTACTGTCAAATAACTTCAAAAGCAAATGCTTTAAAAACGAATATGCATTAAAAAAAGTGAGCTATAACTTTTATTGTGAGATTAAAGCCCCTGACATTAAAGCTCCTGTAAGTAACTTAACTTAAAGTCAAAATAGTGTTTTGACCACAGAGTTTCTTTCTGCAGGTGCTCCCCCTCTCTGCTCTTAGTATACATTGGTACAAGTTTAACTGAATGTTTATTTATTGTAAAAGATATTAATTTCCCTGAACTGAATATCATCAACATATAGTGTTTGTTTTTTGAGACGACAAAACAACCTTCATACCTGAAAGAACCTTACATTTAGAATTATTTTGACTCATAATTAAATCCTTTTAATTGCTTTTCTCTTTTGTGAGTGGCATGAGTTCTGCTCTCCTCTGACTGTGGGTTAACCAGTTTGATGAGAGAGCTGATGGACAGAGTCGAGCTGTACTGTGGCTGGCCTGCTGTTCTCCTCAGGAACCTGCCCTGTTTGTGAATTTATTCGCAGGGGGCTCCAACCAGAATGCATGATATATGCAGTATATATATAACTTGTTGTTATTGTTCACATGTTTAACAATGTGTGAAGGAAAGAAGAAGAAACAACATGAACCCTGTTGTTACTAAGTAAAACAGACTAAAGTAGTATTATAAATAACCTAAGGAAGTGCGGCATAAGGCTGATTTTAAGTCAAACTACTCCTACAATAAGTCAGATTTTTCTTTACCTATTTTTGCATGTGACATAGTTGCTCAAAGTGGGAGGAGAGTTTGTTTCCAAATGATAACAGGCAAGAATGTGAGAAAAACAGAATGGCAAGCAGCATGCAGATTTATTGTGACTTAATATGCACTCTGCAGGAAGTATGATAAACAAGTTATGGACTATAATAGTAAACAGGGGAAAAAAAGCCATTAAACATTATGGTGTAGGTTACCACATTTACATATCCCATAAAACGAGGGGAAACAAAAGGGTACAGTTTCTCACAAGCGGCTTTTTTAATTGTGCCTGATTTAAGAGGGTGCTGCAACATCCTCAGCACCACTACTTACCGCATCCCTGCACAAATAACGTCTTCTGTAAAACTTTTACATTTTAAGTATGGGTTTTTGCTTTTGACTTTTTCTTATCTCGTCTTTATTTTTTACACTCCCATCTAATTTTGATCTCTAATGCCTTTTTTTTTTCTGTTCTCAATTCTTCTCTTCTCTTTCTTCTCTCATCCAGCTCCAGCAAGGGGAGGAGAGCCTGCTTAACCTCATGATGGAGAACTCCATGCAGTCTACTTGGAAAACACCCCAGCTAGGTCGCAAACCAAGAGGGAGCAGCAAGGCCCGTGCTCGGGGACATCCGCAGTCCACCACCACCACTGAAGCCCAGATACTTCTGCCTGCAGGGGCTGCTTCCATCGTCAGCAGTCCCTCCACTGCCAAGAGCTTCTGGTCCAGCGTGGCAGAGGATAAGCAAAGCTTTGCAGGTAGAAAAGTGGAAAAGTCTAGGGGCACTTCCAAGGTCCTGCATCACCACCACCTTCATCACCACCAGACCAGGAGCTCAGACCTGCACAAGGACCCACCACCACAGCCTCCCATTTCAAAAATGGATTCATGTCACATTTCTGAGGACCGCGACCGCTGGGATAGCGTTCTTATTGGGAATGGTGTTGCATCAGGGGCTGGTTCTGGTTTCACCACAAGCTCATCTCCTACCCCAGCCTCTAGCCCAGGGCCCATGATGCCTGACATTCTTCGTGGTGGGCCATCACGGCTCCGCCTGTCCCGCCAGGGTAAATCCAGAAATCGAGGATTCAGTGGAGGTGGAGGTATTGGAGGGCTGGAGTCTGTAGACATGCAGCTCACAGGAAAAGACACGTCTCTGCTGGATGCTGCAGAGACCGATGGGTACTTCTCCGATGGCGAGCAGAGTGACACAGACACACGCTCTGCTGGACGCAAACTCCGCCTGTCGCAGTTGCATTCTGGGAATGAGGACTTGCTAAGACGGAGCGTGCTGGCATCCTAAAGAATTGACTAAAAACAAACACACACACATAGTAATCCAAACAAATTCCTGCTGGCTAGTTGTTTCACCATCTGTGTAGACATTCTACAAAAACATGGCTGGATGGCTTTGTTCAACCAAATCCCTCTCACGTTAACCAGAGGGAAATCTCTTCAGCTCTGACCTGCTTTGTTTTTGAGATGATTTTGAATGTAGCTGTTTGCCTGTCGTTCAGAATCGTTATCCATCGGACCCCAACCACAAAATGCTGAACATTCAATGAATAGGAAACAAACATTACCTTCAGTCTTTTTTTCTGTTTTGTATTTCAGATTCATTTTTGTTTCTGGGCGTTTAGAGAACCCTATTCTGGCCTCATGTCTGTGATATCTGCCAGACTTGGGAACAAACACTTTGGGGCATTAATATTATTGTTATTCAAGCTGGTTTCAGGGTCTGCTTCGCCCCTGGCCTTTGTGGCCTGAGATGCATCCAATGAGTCCTTGTTTCCTTGAATATGTTCATTGGAAAGATGATTTCACACCAGTGCTGGACTGAATATGTATAGAGGGTGACATGGAACAACATGTATTCAGCCTTGAAAAGCACAACTAGCTAGTCGTAAGAGCTGTATTGTAAGCACTTGTGTGTATAATAGATGCTCATTCAGGATTGGGGTCAATTCTCATCACATTGACTCAGCTGTAATATTTTGTCCTAAGCTGTCACTCTCCACTTTATCTTGACCGACTAAAATTACAGATTTCAGTGTTTTCCAGTTTTTGATTTGACCCCAACCCTGGTGCTCATTGGGATTATCACACAGACACACAGACATACTGACACACTGACACGCATATGACCATGAGCAAATCCCTTTGCTCATACAACAGCAATTGCTGAAATGTTGACCTGACTTTTGACAGCTATTTTCAAATTCTTCCTGATTCTGAGTTTTTGTTTTCAAGTCTTTCAAGTCTTTCAAGCCTGACTCTTAGACGAAAAATCATCATAGAACTCTGTGCCTTCTGTCGCTTACCCTGTGCCCCAGCCCCCTTAACCCCGAAAACCTTATCACTCAACCAACAATCATTAAGCAGATCAATCAGTCGTATCTCAATCGGACTTGTAACAATCAAACCATTGTTGGATTGGTTACAGAGTGTAGCCAGCATTGGGCTCCTTGTCACCTTAACAATTATCTAGTGCCTGAAACAAGGATGTAAATGCAGCATTTTTCATTAATCAAACAAATCCTCTGCAACTGTTAGCAAAGCAGAGACATGCAGTGCAAAGAGCTGCTTACTGTTCTGTGCCCCCCCAACCCAAATAGATCTCTGCAGTCCAGAGCCATCAATACAAAGAGTTTAGGTAGTTACAAATTAGCATCTAATTTGCAGTAACTTTAAAAATTTTCTCGGTCCTCAAAAATCAAACATGTATCTCGTTACTATACAAGATCGCCCAGGTCCCCAGTAAAATTGAAAGAGTAAAGGCTTCAGGCATCAGGAGGGTAGAATGATGCTCAACACAGTTCTTTTTAAGTTACGCATTGAGCAGGTTTATGATACCAACATGGCTGCCGCTTGAGTTTGGCCTGGATGAGTTCTGGTAACCGATGGCTCTGCTTGCTGCACCTGTTCTCCTGTTACATGAATGATGACAATGTTATAGTCAGCTTCAGAGGCCTGCGATCTTCAGTTCTTGAATTGAGTTGTTTGTAAATTAGTTTTCTCTTTTCTTCTTTTTTTTTGTTCTCTCAGAGAGTTGTATTTTGTACCTAAAGCAGTCCGTGTTATTCTCAGGGGTTAAAAAGAAATCTTTTGAAAAAAGAATAAAAGGTTGAAAATGTATGGAAAAAGTGACGCCAGACATAGATAAATATATATATACAAACATATTTTATATCATACAGTATATATATATATATGTATATGAAGTGATTTGTGTATGTCTAGATACTTCCTTATTTGGCGATCTTCACTGTTTGAACTCCTACACGACTACTACTGAGCATTTTGCCTCTCTCAGTATGATGGTATAACCATCAGCCCTGGGTTCAGTTGTTCCAAACAATAATCAATGCTCATCTGATTTCTAAGAACTTTGATACCTAATCAATCAGGTTTCAAATGAGGCTTAAACAAAGCATCAAGCGTGATTTTAAGGGCTGCTTGACCCAGGCCTGATGAACCAACACTTAAAAAGTGTTTGATCTACTTCCTTTTGTTTTCTCCATATGGACAGTTATGTAACCTGTCTTCTAAGTGACCACGCCAAAGAACAGATCTATGTATCAAGGCAGCATATTTTACATCTTATCTACAGCAACACACAAACACACTCCGCTCCTTCTCTGGCCTTCTACGTGATGAATGCTAGATAAGGATGTTACACAACTGTTACAGCGCTGTCATGGCCAGCATGGTTTAATCCAGACGCCAACATTACCTGGATTGTCTCCGAGATCTGCATTCACTGGGTTCACATTGGAAAAAGCCTGCTTCCACAGGACTGCCCTTAAATGCAGACTCACACATGTTAACCCCCTTCAGAAGAAGCCAAATGCTGCTGAACTGAACACACACATTGTATACAGCTCCAGCACGCATCTATACACACACACACACACACACACACACACACACACCAGAGCTGGTATAACAGGGTTAATGTAATGTTCAAGATGACTAGTTTTTTACGTATGTGTGGTCCTGACTGCATCAGGAAGAATGAGCTTACTCAGAGGGAAACACCCCCCTAATAGCAGGAAAGTATTATTACAGGTGACAGAGAAGCATCTCTGTCCTTCAGGTGTAGCAACCGTAGAAGTCTCCTCACTTGTCTGTTCTTTAACATGAAGAGGCAAAGTCAGGAAAATCCCTCTTTTTTTAAGGCAGGGCTACGTGTCAAACTTTGCAAAGAAAGGCAGAGGGATTTGGACTTCTACAACGGCTATAGTTATTACACCCCTAATGGAAACTGATCAAGATAACACACACACACACAACAGTAACAGCAACAAAGCTTGAAGTGAGGTTTTTGTGGACGTATTACTGCTCACAGAACCCGGCACTGGGTTGCTGTTACCATTCATGTATTGGTAATACAGAAAAATGTAATCTTGGTTTCAATATTCAATGTTTGGAGTAGCCTGACTTTGTAGACAGTGGTATTAGACAAGGCCTCTCATTAACGGCCTTTACATGTAGTAGCAAATGCTAAGGCTGCACAGCATAGGCAGAAGAAATGGCTGCACTACCCCTACTGAAAGTTATGGCGGTAGTTAGGTTAAAAACTCTTCTCATTATTGTGAACAGCAGTTTACCTGAAGACCGCACTATGATACCATCTCAGTCAATTTGGTTTTGGAATTTTTGTTAACCTTGATACTGTGCAGCCTTGGCATACACAAACTGGTTGTTATTCTATATTTACAGTGTGGCTTCAATGCCCTCTCCTTCTGTTCCGTAGATACTGTAGACTGCAGTCTCTTGCAGGATCGTTTTCTTCATTTTTTTTTTTTTTTATCAACTAGAATGCAACTTCAAAGCATCACCGTCCTCCGTGTGGTACGCTGGTGTGGGTGTTGGCTCACAGCCCAAAATGTGCTCTGATGATCTTTTTGAATTTTGCAACTGTGTCAGGTCAGATATCCGCATGATATGAGATCTAGTTGTATCATGTAGCATCAGTGTCAGCAGAAGATCAGGAGGCCTAATGAGGTTATGTTCTTCTGGGTAAGCCTACCATCTGCACTTCATGATGAACAAATTATGGATAACTATACAATCATACAGTTCTCTAAATGGTGAGTTATGGCACGCGTGAGAGCAACCCCCTGCATTGGAATTGGAACAAATGCCTCAGCCCAGAAATAAACTGGTGGGCATTGTGCACTTAATGGCAGGTCAGAAACACACCTACACAAAGTGAAGCATCCCACCTAGACTTCTTCTGAAAAGATAGTTAAAGGCCAACACTGATTTCTGCAGGCAATTGGCAACTCTCCTGTACTTCACACAGCGGCTAACGACTGTACAGACACTGTTGTTAGTCTCCTTGGAAAGACATCACTGCACCAGCCAGGCTGGGTGCCTGAGAACTGCCTCAGCTTAGCAACGATCATGTTTGGAGCAGAGAGGCAGGTCAGCAGTATATCCAGCAAGAAACATGTTGGTAAATTCTGTCTTAACAAGCCATTTTGTGCAACAACACCCAGTTTTTGTTTGAACAGGAAGACCCCATAAGTTCCATTTGTTTTAACAAGTGGAACTTATGGGTTTTGAAAAATGAAAAACTGATTGTTGCCCTGAGGTGGCTTTCAGGAACGGGGAGGACATTAGGAGACTGCTCATAGTTTGTCTCTCCTACTTTGTGTTTGAGCCGTCATCCAATTGGAAAGTGGTTTGAGGCTGTCCTAAGGTCAGTAAAGCCAGGGTTGGCAAGTTCTCAAGATTTGTATTGACGATACATTAAACATGATGCCTCGACTTCTCTATCAGGCTGCTTTTATTGTGATAATACAGAATATAGTTACACAAGTCTAGGCACTGAATGTCTGCTGGGCTCAACTAAAATCACTTCTCTCTCTCTGACAAAGATGAGTTGGAAATGGGCACAGAGCTTGTTGCATGTGATCTACATGAGATTTAGATTTCTCAAAATGAAGTGATAGAAGAGAAGTCTTGACCGAAGTTGAATTCATTAGTTTGTTTATATGATTTGGAAATGCAGACTGGCCCGATGACTGCTCAGTGCTTCCTGATATCATTGCCGAGACCTTTCTTTACTGTCTTACACCAGCCATACAAACCAACCCCTCTACCTGCGTACCACTGGAGTTCTTCACAGTTTCAATAATGTATAATACTGTTCAACTACTACTATTACTACTAATAGAGACATTTTCATTTTCCTTGTTTTGAAAAGGTTTTGGAAGCTGTTTTTTTTTTTTTTGTAACGCTTTTTCTGGCCGCGGTGGCTCGTATCTAACTAGAAAGCTGAGTCATTATCTGCTTCCTCTGTTTTACTGGCGCTTTGCTCTCCTCTCGTTACAGCAAAGTAAAGGCTCAAAATCCACTACTCAGACACGCTGCATTGATTGGAGGTTTAGTAATACAAACTGGGCTGTTGTGGAGGCAGAAACAAAGTCAAGATTGGTGGAGTCAAAGAACAAAACTGATTTAAGTCAAGAAGCCTTCGGTTATTCTTTTAGGATTTGGAGGTCATTAACTGGCACACAGGTGGATTGTGGTTTCCGTTTTTATTTTCTTTCAGCAAAAATGGCAACTGTTTTGTCAAAGTCTTGACACTGTAACTATTGGCTGACCAAAACATATATATGAAGATTTATACCTGTACTGTGAGAAATAAAAACAAAAATAGTTTAAATATTTTTTTTGCTTTAATGTTGGAGGATATAAGTTGGTCCAAAACAAACAAAAGCTTTTCAGCAGCTGAGAATTTCAGTCAATCACGAATATAAAACTATATCTACAAAAAGTACTCTAAGGTTACTTGGAGTGATTTGTTTTCTAAGATTTGAAAAAACTAAATTTGCAATCCTGTGTGAAATGTAAAAAAGATTTATAAGATGCCTATTTATTCCGACCAAAATTCCAAAACAAACGTGATGTGTGGTTTGCCATTTTTGTTAGAATAATTACCTGTAACCATTAATCAAACATAACAGTTGAAGAGACAATGTATGGTCTCCTTTTCTATCAATTTATTGGCTAATTGTTTCAGCTTAATCTTTTCCTGAGTCGACATTTCTCAATCTTAAAGGAATTTTTCATGAAAGAATAGCAGCCATGTTAAGTTAAAGGAAATTTGAAAAGAACTTGTCCTTATAATACACTTCCTTTAGTTTTATTATGACTGTTTCATTGGGGCATCAGTCCAAAATCTCTTTGCCAAAAACACTCTTTGGCTCTGCCCACTGAAGCTCAACACAGTGAGATTATGATGTATCTGCCTCAATAGCAGCTCTGAGAAATCTCTTTTAAACTAAAGCTCCCGTCTGCTCAAACTGTGCACCTTTCTCTGCCTTCATCTTCCAACATCTCCCTCCTCCCTGCTCATTAGCCATCTCCCCTCCCCTCCTCCATCCTTAACCCCCCCCCTCCCCCCCCTCCAATGTTGATAACTCCTCCTTTTTCTCTCCTGTCCAGTTATCAGCCTCCTTGGCCCATGTGGCACTTTTGGAATCTCTGTTAAAGCATAGGAAGATCAAATTTCTTCTTCTTTTTAATATGAAACGAAAAAAGGATGTCTGTAGCTTTAAGGACAAATAATGACAGGCACATCTTGTGGATGTACATGTGAGGAGGGGAAAACGTTTCACTCTGCTTTGCTCTGGGTTGCTGAAAGAGAGATAGAGAGAGAGAGATGGATAGAGAGAGGAGAGGAGGGAGACATTACCTGAACCGAAGCCAGAGAAGCAAGCAGAGAAAGAGAACAACTTGTTCTTTCCCCTGCGTTCTGTTTGCAGCCCGTCTACACAGTTGAGTTAACAAGCAGCTAATATAAACAACACCAGGCCCTTCCCTTCTGCTGCCCTCTTGCCTCCTCATATCTGCCTCTCTCTTTCAACCCCCTGTACTTTCTCCACTCTCTCCCTCTCTCTCTGTACAGTCAGGTCTCTATACAGGTGTTTCCTTCACAAACTGAAACAACTGAATCAGGATAGCAGTGCAGAAACTTTGAAGACTGGTCATTAAATAACACATTTGGCCTTGCGAAGGATTCAGTATTCTATAACCAACATTATTTTCCCATAAAAATCACCCTCTGTTGATATATATTGTCGGTTGATGTTTTTGTTAGATTACATGTAACTCAGCCAACATTACTACGTGAGTCCTGATAATAACAAGCCATAATGACATAATGCAGGACATCTTCTTGGTGTCTTTTTTTTTTGCCTTTGCTAGGGATGACTTATTTGATTCTTTAATCCAATGAAACACAAAAAAATTCAGCCTTTCTAAAACATGCACAAAAGTTACATTTTCTGTACAAAGTAACAAAGATAAAAACTGACAACAAGGACTGTCTTGAGGAACAACAGTCCTTGAAAGTGTAAAGTGAAAATGCCATCTTCATGCACACCTGCACTAGTTTATGGGCCTGTGGTGACTACAGATTGCTAACTTGTAATGAAAGGAAAGACTGAAAATAATTAGTTTTTGCTGAATTTGTTTACATATGAGAGAGTTTAAGCACTGGGGAGTTGACTGAACTTTTTGCAGATTACACTTTGTCCATGCTTAGCCCTTCAATGTAGTCGTGATCAAATGTTATTAATCGAGAAATAACTGATTGCGACATGGGAGGGATGTTGCTGAGTATTGACAGGACAGGTGAACACATTTCTGGTGTTGGTCCAGATTTGATAATCTTAAAAAGAATAACAAGTAACACCAGCTTCATCACTAAAATGTCAAAATACATCACCCATCTGTTAATACTCAGTGATTGTGTGCATTTTTATCAAGATAAGATTATAAATTTGACCAATGCAATCAAGTCTTGAAGCTGAATCCATTTATAGATTTTTTTGCCAATTGAACTTGAAGTAGTGATAGAAACATGGCTCGAGTCCATTTTCTGGTTCCTCCCTCACACTCTGAGAGGTGTACTCAGCCTCCCTTTCCATCTGGTTTAAGCATTAGGCTCCTGGGAGGTTCACACTCAGACATACATACATCACTGCAGACAAATTGAGTTGTAAAAGCAACCGAGACACACGGAAGATCAATTTGGCAAAAGCCACCGTCTCCCACTGGTGGTCAAGCAACATTTGGTAACATTTAATTTGAGCTCGGCTGGGAACTGTACACAAAGTATAAATACAACAAAGGGACATGAGTAGGAATCTGTCATTGGAGGGAAAAAGAGTTATTTCAGCAGACACTGGAGACACTTCACTTCCAGGTGTGAATGCAAAGTCAATAAATCATGTCTCTAGTCAAAATTTAAATTGACTCTGCAGGTTAAGACCATATAAAGAGGCCCTCTGTATCGTATTTCTGTCTCTGTTTTGTCACCTACTTTAATTACATTTCTCTATCTGTCTCTGATTTATTTCTCTCTCCTGGTTTCTGTCATTTTATTTCATTGTTCACTGTTCTCCTCCACTGCTTTTATAATTGGACTTCGTTTTGTCTTTAGCACACACATGGCAAATTCTCCTCTAAGGAAAATATGTATTTATTTGGGGGAAGGGAATATTTTGGATTATGTTACTTGAGGATATGCAGTCTCTCGGTATGTGTGTGTCTTATAAAAGATTGTGTGTGCAGACAGGTGTGGATGTCTGTAGTTACAGGTATTAGAGGAATAAAGTTAGTGTGTGCAAGGTGAGACAGAGTTTGGGTTAAAAGTAGCTGCATCAGTCCAGCAGGTAAACTGGTCTCCCGTCTTTCTCCTCTTCCATTAGGCTACGTCCACACTAAAAGCTCCCTTATTTTGAAAACCCCAACAAGTCAACACTAGCCTTTTTTATATCTCGTATTCCCTGAGATCTCTGTCTACACTGAAATGCCTAAAAAAGAAACAGAAACAATCCATTCTGGAGAGATAAAAAAATCAGAAATCAGAAAAAGAGCACATTTTCTGGGTACTACGATGCTGAGGCTCTGCAGTTTCAACATCTGTTGAGTCCCCTCTTGCTCTCTGTGACCAGCGTTTATGTGTGCTATTCCATAGCCAAATTCTCATATTTGTTCTTATTTAACGTCCCAGTATAAAAAACCAGTATGAATGTACCCTTTGTAATTGGTTTCATTAACCCTAATGAGTCACATTTCAGGCAAATGTGTCATCCATAATATTTAGCCATATTAATACATTCAGTTTTTTTTACATGCATTTAAGTCACTGCATGTCAGTAAGCCTTCTTTCAACTTCTATGACAGATGCTAATCCACTTTTCCTATCAATGAAACAGCAAAGCCCGCAGATGGAAATAACCATTTTTTACAAGTCTCATCTATTGCATAACAAGGCTGGAATAAATCCATTTTTGGTGACAGGTTTTTAAAAAGCTGCAGTTTTGATTAAGAAAAACACTGGCTGAATGTGGACAAAGAGCCATAACAGAATCCTTTGGGTGTACTTTTATGCATAACCTCCCTGTTTATAGTCTTTGTGTTGCCGTGGCATTTAATGTCTCTTTCATCCACTTCATGTCTCTCTCTTTTCCCTTTTTCTCCTCCCGTCTTTCTCCATGTCGCTCCTCAGTGCAGAATAAGTGTTTTCAGACCCTCATTGATAACTAAAAAAAAAACGTTCCTTTCTTGCCTGACCTGTAATCCAGAGTTTTCTCCCTCAGGTTTAAAACACATTGTGAGTTATCACGTAGAGACGGTTTGGTTTTCAAAATTTGAGCAACTTGTTTTTCCTGTTATTTAATTCTGTACTTACTCCTATAAGCACTTACAGTATGTATATCCAATTTTTTTTAGATTTATCTATTTCTCTCCCTTCACTCTGCTCTCTCTCTCTCTCATGATTATTTTTTTACATTACTGGTCATCATTCTGCAAAATTAGATTGTTTGGCATCACATTGGTCATATTTAGGCACTATTTGAATACCAATCAGCATAGTCCAATCAAAGCAGAGCTGGACACAGGTTTCTCCTCCTCCTCCTGTCTTATTTGTCTTTATAAAGGTGTTCAAATCTGGTGTCCAGCGTCTCCTCCACTCTGCATCGGCTGTTCAATACAATAATATGAATGTTGCAGGAGTTAATTCTTCTGTATTCTTTGTTTCAAAGAATGTTGTGCCATTTGTTAATAGCAAAGAGAACTATTGAACATATATGACAAAGAAGAGCTATTTTAAATTATTTTTTGGCTTTTTTTGCTATATTTATTTTCTTGTATTAGAATCTTCTTTGTAGGAGGGAATATAAAAAAATGTATTTTTCATTAGTGCGAAAAACCTATTTTCTTCCTTTTTGTACAATTTCGATGTTTTAAGCGAGACTTTGAAAAGCAATATGATGATGATGATGTTTCCTGTGACTGTATCTGCATGCTGTTTGTGTTGCCTTAATGATGGCTGCAACCCACTTTCAACCCACCCAACTCCAACCTGTTTCCTCCAAATCCCCCCCCCCCCCCCCCCCCCCCTCCAACTCCTACCAACTGATGGAGTCCCAGTTCCACCTGATCCAGTCCAGTCCAGTGCAGTCAATAAAGCAGTGCTTTCTGTGTACACAAACCTCTCTGCCTCTCTGTCTATCACACTAACACACAAACAGACGTCTCATTTACCACTTCTTTCCTGTTTAACAGGCACCTACATTGATTTAAAAAATATATACAAATATAAACACCGTATTTCATCATTTTGAGACATTTAACAAAGACAAATTTATGACAAAAACTTTAATCAACTGGTGGTGCATGAAGAACTGGAAGTTCTCAGATGTCATTCTTATTCATTTCCTGGCACCTTGGATATCTGCACCAATTATGTGTTCATCCATGTAAATGTATTGATCTTTTAGCAAAGCTTCTGACTCATGGCTTTGCCAAGAGAAAAGTCAAGACTAAACAGCCACCTGCGAAGACAGACTTTGATCAGAAAGGCAATATTTGGGATATCAGAACTTGCATTGTCAGGTAGTTACTGTCAGTATAGGCTTTCAAGTGCGTAAAAATACCTCTCCTTAAAATAAAAACCCACCACATGTTAGAAACCAGGAGTTTGTCAAGAGACATGAGACTGAAGGCATGATGCAAAAGACTCTGTGGTCTGATGAAACCAAATCCAAAACGTCATAGCTGATGCAAAGGGTTGTTTGTATTGGAAGGGCAGATTTTATCCGCCCTCTAACACCAGCCATACCTCGACGTTGAAGCTTCAGACTTGGCCTGTGTGTGTAGGGAGACTCCGCCAGAGGTTCAGAGGAACAATGCAGAGATCCAAACAGGCACATTTCAAGGAGAGCACAGTTTCTCAGTGCCAAAGACCTGAGAGTAGGGCCAACAAATTTATTCTCCAGCACGACTTTAACAAGCTGCCAAAGAATCTTTAGAGAGGCTTCTCAACAAGAATGTGAAAATCCTTCTGTAGTCCCAAAACCGAGATTTGAATTTCAGAGCAAATCTGTGCAATGACTTGGAAGATTCAGCCATGTCAGCAAAATCCAAATATTCCGTCCTGATGCAGATGTATTTTCTTTTTCTTTTCTTTTTTTTTTTTTTTTTACAAAACTTGAATAAACTGAAGTTATATGAATCGTCATTCTTTATTTTTAAGATCAAATTACAAAGTGCAACGTGATATTGGTGTCTATGACGCACCCACAAAGTTATCTCTCCTTAATGGAAAGTTTTGCACTTGTCATCTTGTTATTTTGGTTTTCTGGACCTCTGATTATTTACTCTCAGTGCTCTCATAATCATAACATGATGGGGTTTGAACTATAAGTATTAGGTGTTTTTGCTTGAATGGGATCATTTATTCCTGATTAGCTTAAGCACACTATTTGCTTTTGTTGTCTCTCATTACACATCCCCTGATTTGTATGTCTGCTTTCTTTTCAGAGGTATGTAGAAGCATTTTTTTGTGATATTGAGGCAGTGGAACATAAACTTCGGGTCAAAGACAGACTCTTTAAATACTTCATGGAGGCACAGTTACAGACTCTGTTCTTGTTTGTTTATTTCAGGGCCTCCCAGCTTGAAACAAGGATTGATTATTACCTACTCATCCTTTTCGGGTTTTCGTTAGCTCTAGTGTGATTTTCCTCCTAATCTGATTACTTCCTCCTGCTGTATTCTATCTCACTTCTGTTTTTTTATTTTGCCAGCCTATTATGAAGGTTTAACTAGTTCAATCCACTCAGCAGTTACACTGTAAACAAAATATCCCACTGCAACTTTAAAAAAATGAGCTAGATACCATTTCTCTAGAATAAATTCATGGTTTTGTTTCATGTGCCTGCCATCCTATAGTCCACATCCTCAGATGGTGTTTGGGAAGCAGCAGGAAGAAGTTTCAGAGCTAAGTGTGCCTCAGAGGACTCAAGCTAACTTTTTCACGCACCTGCTACAGTGCTTTTACAAACAGCAGTTATTAAAGCTGTGGTAAGCAAGTTTTTTTTATAATTTAAAAAAAGTTTTCAAGCATAACTGCAGAAACATCCAACCTAACTTTCTGGTCCTAGTGCTTTACGTTCTGTGAGGTGAACTTTGAGTAAAGAGCAGTGATCACACTGAGAGTCCACCCGGAGTCTGAATACAAACCAAAACGGAAAAACATTATGAAACATACAAAGACAGTATGAAAACATCAAGAGAAAGACAATGTTTTGTATGATTATTTATTCTTATAGAAAGGTTGTCTTTGTCTGGATACTGTTGTGTTCAAATCCAACCATCTTTCTATACATATCTACATCAAGTTCAGTCTGTAGGGGCTTGGGTTGGGGACTGGAGGGTCGCCAAATCAAGTCTCGGTGTGGACCAAGTCTGGAAATTGGTCTGGTAGCTGGAGAGGTGCCAGTTCACTCCCTGAGCACTGCCGAGGTGCCATTGAGCAAGGCACTGACCACCCCTCCACCAGGTCAGGAGCGCCCCCCCCCTCACTCTGACATCTCTCCATTAGTGCATGTCCATAAGATCCTGTTTGTGCATGTGTGTGTGTGCGTGTGTGTGTGTGTGTGTGTGTGTGTGTGTGTGTGTGTGTGTGTGTGTGTGTGCGTGTGCATGTGCATGTGTGTGTGTGTGTGTATTTCAGCCAATTTGTGTGTAGCATGTTCAACAACAGTGTAAAATTGAATTTCCCCTCGCAGGTTTAATAAAGTGTGTCTTCTTCTTCCAGAAAGAGGGGTTGTCTTGATTAATTTTGCAGTTTTGTATTAGTCTTAACTGTTTGTGATTCTCTTCCTATACTAGATTTGCAAGTCATTTTGAGACTTCATTAATTTTCTGAGGGCATCTCAAACATTATCAACTGATGCTTTTCACCCACAGCTCAAAGATTTAAGCCTGACTGACTGAAAAGGCAGAAACATGAAAGACATCTCCCAGGATCACCAGCTGGTAAGTGAAGACAGTTTGAGTGAGTTAAAGAGGCTTTGGTGATGATGGATGCTTGGATTTAATTTGAAACAACTATCACTTGCCACTGCCACATCCCGCATTGAATTAAAAAAAAAAAACATTTGAATGCTTTAAGGGCATCATTAAGAAATTTGTCATATCATGCAAGATATTAAGTTTCACTGGTGTGACATTTCAGGGAATTCAGGAAAGCTTATCAGAATCAGAAATACCTTATTAATCCCAGGGGGGGGGGAATTTGAACTGATCTGCTGTGATTGTACTAATCTTTACAGCTAACTGTCTTCCCAAGTGTCAGCAAGCAATGCAAAGTATCACGCATCATCAGCTAGCTCATTAGCTTGCTATCAAACACACATGCTCCATGAGGAGTGCTGATAAGCTTTTTTTTCTCAGTCCAAAAGACACGGGGCAGAACGTACTTTCCTGCATGATGTGACAAGCGTCTGGCAAAGAAAAAAATGACAGACAAAAAAATCAAAATGTCAAGGCATCCATTTAACAGCCTTTTGTGCTGGCAGCAAGTTAATCTGACACATTGTAGAAAAATCGATAGAGAGCAGAAGACTGTTAGGATAAACTGTTGGCAGATGACATCCACCACTGTGAAACCGTGAAATCCACATTAGTTTCAGGACGTCCAGGAACAGTCAGAGGAAGGAGGTGGGCGGCTCTGCTCGGGGTGGTTGAACAATTGTATCTGTTATAATCTGATAGACTGTCCTGCACATACGCACACTGACAACATAGTCCCACACAAGCAGATCATAGTCCTCCTGACACATGCTCTTATATTTTCTTTTATTCCCTGCTCCCTTGAGAGCCTCACTCCACCGACGATACGTTGACGCCAGACCAGTTTTTTCACTTGTGAGGTGTTTAAAACCATTCAGTACAATAGCAGGTTGAAATGTCAAGAGGCCACTGGGGTTTAGAATGTTCCTGATAAATTATAAATTATCTAGCTCCTCCAACATCAACAAACAAAAGGCTCAGTAGAGGGCTTGGCTTTATAAAGAAGAAAGAAAAGCACAAGATCCTGTGGGCATTAAAAAAAAGTTGTTTTTTTGTTCCTTTTTGGTCTGGATCCAACAAACTCTGCAGTAAGTGGCAAATCCCTTCCCGTACAAGACCTCTGTAAATACTTAGTAGAGTCAGAAAGGAGGAAACGCTGCAAAGAGTTATTATCTTGTTTTATATTCAAATTTTTTACATGTGTTCATCTGTAATATTTCTAGAAAAGTGAAACGTCTCACGGCAGCTCAAACTTTTTAATCACACTCTCGCATGCTGAGGTTTTATCATTTAGTCTAAATTCACTGTTACAAAATAACATTACAAAAAGATTAATACAACAATCTTTTAACGTACAGTAGCCTATTACCCGAGCCCAGAGAAGCAAAAGAGAGAGAGGGGGAGAGGACATACGCCTACATATAGACAGCCAGGATGCAAAACAAAAAGTGGTCATTTATTAATGAAGCCTTGCGTATTGCAACCCTCTGTGATGTCAATGAAGCATAATGCAGTCTCTGTTCACCTTCCCTTAATGAAAGTGACAGCTGTCTTGTGAGCAAGTCCTGTGCAGGTTAACAGTGTTTAGGTAGAACTGCCCAGATGGGCACCTCACATTCACACTGCCAACATGTAAGCTTGTGTGTGTGTGTGTGTGTGTGCATGCATGTCATGAATTTTGCGGCTCATGCATGTTAATCTGAGATTGACTTCAAATTGGATATACTTGATAGGACATGCCGGTCGGCAACCATATCCAAACAGGCTGTTAATCGACTGATTCCTGTCACAGGCCGGTCAATCGCCGAACAGTGAAACATACCAGTGAATCTTTGGAGGTTGTACAAAAAGACTGTTTTTGCAAGTTGCTGTTAACCACCTCGTCTGACACCTACCAAGCAGCAGCGATATCAGGTATTGGAATGAATAGATCTTGTTGTTAATTGTCTTCTTTGGTTCTGTATGTCATATAGAGACATCAGTATTAGTTTCAGTCTGTTTAAGTTCCAGTTCAAAACTCCACACAGGAGCTTTAACTATAATATTTTATAAAAAAACACTTATCTCAGAAATGTAATTAACTATAGTGACAACGCCATCAAAAACAAGATGAGTTTTCTCGGGTATCGATTA